GAGATCGCAAGGCTACTAAAGCTGCTTTCACACATGAAGAGGTAAGTTTTAAAGCTTCATTTGTTGCCTGATATCTTGTTTTCCTCCACCCTGTATCTCCCTGCCTAAGGATGGATTCTCCCTCATTCCCGATTTCTCCATTCTTTGGGCTTTCTTGGATATGCAGGCAGCTGCAAGTGAGGCATCGAGGCTGCAGGAAGCAGCTCAGGAGGCCACAGAGGAAACCTTTGCAGCCGTTTCCACCACTACGGAGGCAGCTGTTGATGATTCCCTATTTCTCGGTCGCCGCGGCCGCCGCCGCCCTTTGTAATGTAACCCTCCTCCAAGGCCTCCTCCAAAGTCTTCATGACCAGAGGTCGGCAAATCCGGTGGGTCCTGCGGGTCCGTACCACAGTACCCGCAGCCGAAATTCGGCTTAAGGCCCCGGCTGCGGGACCCAAATGACCAAAATTTGACCAAAAGACGTGATTTGCAGCCTCTATGACATCATCATGATGCAGACAAATATGTTTTTGATGGCGGTCCTTGATCCACAAGGAATGGCTTGACTTCAGCTGTGATAAAAGCTCCCCAGATGGTGCAAAGGCCCCATGCCCCTTCAGCAACGCACATGCCCACACATACCAGCATATTGAAGCAAATGACATTTCATTGTAGTGAATCCTGGTGCACGCGGCGTGCGCGGGCGTGGAGCGCGCACAGAGATCTCTTGCGCAAGCTGGCAGCGCGGCGCGCCCAGATGAGCCCATTTCCCTAGCAATTTGCTGAGTATATAGTAAATTGAAAACTACGTAATGTTTTTATGGAAAGTGACGCAATGCACAATACTGGGGGCTACGCCGATGCAAGCGGTTGGCGCCAGCGAATGCATGAAATGCAAACAAAGCTAAAACTAGCAGTCAGATATTTAATTAGATTAAGGAGACATATTTATCTGGCGGTTTGGGGCCTCAGGTGCGTCCATGGCGACAGCTGCCCGCGACTTGGACATCACAGCCATGGGCGACCCAGGTGGAGACGGATGCGGATGGTTATTTAGAGTTGCAGCGTGGCCATTTGCAGAGGCTTTGGTAGGAGCAGCGCCTTTCACAGTACCGTTTGCGACACCGATGGCGTTCGCGGCACCGTTCGCGGCGTGGCCATTGGGAGGGCCATTGGGAGGGCCAAGCGCAGCACCATTCACAGAGCCGTTCACGGCAGGGCTAGCGACAGGGCAAGCCGCAGGGTCATCCGCTCCTTGACGGGGTGACGGTGGTGGTGACGGTGGTGGTGGTGACCAGGGGTCGGCAAATATAGGCGGGTCCTGCGGGTCCGTACCACAGTACCCGCAGCCGACATACGTCTTAAGGCCCCGGCTGCGGGTCCCTAATGACCAAAATTTGACCAAAAGATGTGATTTGCAGCCTCTATTGCGGCCCGTAGGGCCGTGTGCTGGACTTGAACTCTGTGCTTAACTTTACAAAGAAAGGAAGGCACCCAAAAAACGTTTTTAGGTTTATTAACCGAAATTATGCCTTCCCGCCGCCGCAGAAACCGATTTGCCGACCTCTGGTATACAAGGGTGAGCCGACCGGTGAGCTATAACCCAACCGGTTATAACGGTAACCGTCCGGTATGGTAACCGACATAACAAAATAACGACCCTGCAACTGACTGTCGGCCCGGTAACCTTATCGGTACCCTTACCAATCGGTGACCCCCCAATTACCCCAATTACCGGGTCGTTAGCATGATATCTCCGTTACCCTACCGGGCAGTTACCGTTGCAACCGATTGGATAGGATTACCGACGGGTGACATGGATAATCCGAGTAGCTGGAGATTAGCAATGCACGGGGATACTGTCAATAATCATCTTACAAGGCCATAACCATCGCTCTGACTCATGCCTGAAACCTTAATCCAAGCGATACAGCGAGCTAGTGGCTTTCCTGTGCTCTATGTGTGTTATGATATCCAAAAGCCATCTCATGTCCTAAAGTCATCTAGATCCCGCCGCGCAGCCAAATCTTTCAACATACAGCAGCAGCGATTTCCCCCATCTTAACCTTGCCTAATTCCTACCCGCCTCTCCTAACAACCAGCACGTGCTTAAAAACGAAGAAACGTACGTATGCAAGCACGTACAAAGCGTTGGAGATGTACCATAAACGCTCCGTGATTCATGGCACGGCGCTTAGCAGATTCTGCTAGTTCCCGCCAAGTCGGACTTGGCGGGAAATCTTTTACGGCTCTGCTGCCCGTCGGTCCGTGGCCATTGGCCAAAGCCATGCATTATACATGCCAAGTTGATTCCTGGCCCAAAACCTACTTATCGCAAACCGGAATACGACACACAATTACTGAAAGCCACGGCAGCTTCACTACATTGCTTCGAACAGTCTAAGGATAGTCCATATCACGCAACCCCCCTGACGCCGTGACGCCATTAAGCTATCTATGAACGTAATCATCCCCATGCTTAGTTTTCTTCTGCGACCAAGCCGCTGGTATGCCGTAAATGTCCATGACAGTAACCAGGCCCGCTGGTGGTGGCCGCCACCACGCACGGGTACAGCCCCAGCCGGTCAGCTGGTTGAAGCTGCGCTATAAGGAATTCAACAAAAGCCCCCCTGGATTCATCCAGTGGTTTGTCCCCCTGCTCGTCAGCTAGCTAGGTAAGCTAGCTGGCGGCCATACATCCATCTAGTTAGCTGTCCGGCCGTCCTGCTGACTTGCAGGGCCACCGTAACCACCTGCGCACCTTAGCTGTGAAGCCAACAACAGATGCCGCTGTGCGGGTGCCTAACACCTCAACAAGCCTCTGTTCTCTCAAACCTCAAAGCTGCCAACCACTCAGGGTTTTACACACACAGACAGACAGACAGACAGACACACAGTCTGGTCCACAACCACCACCTCGTTGACCACGGACGTCACCACTATGACCGCTAAGCCCTGTCGTCATCACTCCGCCGCCGCGATCACGACAACCAACGCCTGCTTAGCTAAAATCCTCGCAACCGGAACCATCGGCACGCCATCGCCGGTCTGCTACCACCACCACCACAATCACCACCACCACTATCACCACCACAATCACCACCACCACTATCACAACCACCACCACTATCACTATCACCACCACAACAACTGACTACGATATCCACTACCACCATTCATCCCTCACCATCATGTCCATTTGGTACCCCTCAGCCCCTTAGGGCGGCATGTCCCGTCTCCGCAATGTGCTTGAACAGCTGGTTGCGGGTGGGGAAAAACCGGCCGCACACCGTACAGCCCAGTTGACCGGGCCCAGGAGCGCTCGCAGCCGCCTTCCGAGCCGCCAGCTTCTGCTTGCGCTTATCCCGCTTACTCAACGGGTTATCGTCTTCGTCTGCGTCGTCGTCAACGGCAGGGACTGCAGCCGCGGCCGCAGCGGCGGCTGCGTCGCCGCGCCGGTTTCTCCCTGTCCCCACGGCGGCGGCGGCGGCGGATGTGGCGGCAGCTCTGCCACTGCCGCTGCCCTGTGGTTTCTTCTGGGATTTCTGCTTCGACGCGGAGGGACCTGGCGAAGAGCTCACAGCCGCAGAGCCGCCGACGCGGGTGTCGTTGTTGCTGTCTTGTCCCGCCTCATCACCTCCCTCTGCCTCCCCGTCTTCTGCATCGCCATCACCATCGACATCACCATCGACATCCAACACGGCGCATGCAGGAGGCGCGACAGTGGCCTGCGCATTTGCCACCGTACCACCGCTGCCAACACCCGGAACGCCGTGGCCGCGGCCGCGGCCGCGGCCGTTGCCGCAACCCCCACCGCCCCCTCGCCCTCGCCCTGACGCTGCCGTTGCTCGTTGTGAACGCAACATGCGCGCAAGCATTGCATCCTCGTCCTCCTCATCTCCATCCTCTTCCTCGTCGTCCTCTTCCTGAGTCCCATGCATCGACTCCCCTTCATCGTCATCCCCACCACCATCTCCACCGTCCTCATAACCCCGCGCTCCGCGCCCACTCGTCCCACTGGGCTCCTCACCCGCCTCTTCCGCCTCATCTGCTCCCTGCACGCCCCTCCCCTCACCATCCTCTTCCTCCTCTTTCCCTTCTTCCTCCTCCTCCTCCTCCTCCTGCTGCTGCCGTCGCTGCCTGCCCCCCGACGTCCCGACTCCTCCCCCTCCCCTGCGCTCCCCCTCCTCACCCCCATCCCCGTCCCTAACCCGGGCGTGTGCGGCCATCATCCTAGCCAGCAGAACATCCTCGTCCTCCTCCTCCTCCTCCTCCTCCTCCTCGTCCCTCCCTTTGTCATCGCCACCGCCCTCCTCCTGCTGATCCTCCTCCTGCTGGAGATCCGGAGCTCTCCCTCGACGTCCACCCTTGGAGTTGGCGTGGGACTTACTCGCGGTCGCAGCCGCCGCTGCCGCCCTGCCCCGCAGCGGCGATGGCGGCTCCTTCTCCTCCGTCGGGCGGCCCCCAGCAGCCGCAGGTGCACCAGCAGCACCAGCAGCACCAGCAGCAGTAACCGTGGCGGTGGTGGTGGTGGTGGCGGGGGAAGAGCGGGCCGCGGCCATCTGCGCCTGTCTGCGGGATGTAATGGTGGCAGTGACCGGGGATGGGGTCGTGGTGGGGAGGATGTCAAGTGGAGTTAAGGCCGGGGTGATGGAAAGGGAGGGTAGAGCAAGGGGATGTGTGTTCAGCGCGGAGGGAAGTGCTTGTGTGCGATGCTGGTTTGGTACCCTGGTGAGGCGGTGATGTTGGTGGTGGATGTTGGTGGTGATATGGGTCATGGAGATGGATGGAAGAGGAGGACGAGGAGGAGGAGAAAGAGAGGCTGCCGGTTTGTTCAGTAGATACACGGCCACAACTACACACAGACACACTCGTATGCACACACGCACCCCCTCCAGCGCTGAGA